CCTTTAGTGTCCGGGATGAAATCAAATTCTATTCCTGAAAACGGAAATATTTTTACAATACAGCAAATTGAACTTATTTTATGACTTTCATTGACTTGCCTTATTCTATTATATGTATTTATCTTACCGTCTATCGTCTCATTGGTACAAATATGGACATAGGAAGCGTTGGGGTCGAGTTTCCAAGTTGACTGATCTGGGATTTCCACATAGCGGTCAGTTGGTGGTAATACCATGTTCACTTTACCGTACTTCCTCGCATCCCTGGCGGCTATTGCTGACCAGGTACCTGAATAATTTTTATAACTTGAGTACTTACTTTTTATCCATGTATTATAGAGGAAATGTAAGATATTTTTCCTTCGGTATATCTCCACTAGCATGAAATGTCATCAGCGTTATTGTATTCGTAAATGCAAAGCTTAATATATTATATATCATTGTAAGTATAAATACCAGTCACCACATAGTCGGCTGAACCAGTACGTGATATTAAATTCAGCGGCACCGCAGAAAATTGTCCCTGACCGCCGCCAGATAGAAATAGTATTTTGTAGTTGTTCGGGACATTTCTGAAATAATAACGTTTTGTCAGTCATTTCACATTTGTAATTCCATTGATATAAATTATTATATTTCTTGAAAATAAAACATTATATAAAAATACAATATAAGGATATATAAATGTTGATATTCTCATACGAAACTTATCACAAACTTTAAAACTTCGACATAACAAAACAAGAAATTATCAGAGACGACACAAACTGTTTTATAAAAGAAGATTTACTTCAATACAGCATTATTATTTTTTTAGTTTTCCGTCAGTGTTTTATCTATCAATCGTTTAAAAAACAAACACTTAAAGCAAAACATGACATCTTGGTTTAAGATTCTCACAATTTCTTTCCAATTAATCACGTTATCACGACTATACTTAAGAGTTTATAAGTTTATGTAATATTATAACGGTATTCTTGAAATGACGGACAGACAATATAGCGGACGAGAGTGGATCATTAAAAAAGGGTTGCGTTGAAACGAACTTTTTTAGTTTATTATTATAACTCAGATCTCTATTAATCCCTAAGTATGATTTCGAAACTTTAATCCAACCTTCATGGTTTCTTAATCCATTTAAAGCTGTTAGTAAAACTTATATGTAAATATAACAATGGAACATCGATTACAATACCATGTTATTTTAATCAATTAAAAGTAACACCTGGCATACACTTTGAAAAACAATTTTATCTAGATCCTATCAACTGTATATATCGCAGTTAAATAAATGGTACTAAAATAACAATACAGTAACCAACCGATAAACCAAAACTAAAGTCAATAACCAACCGATAAGTAACGTCAAAAAAGCTTGGATCTACGTGAATCTCTATCTAATTCGCGTTTGAGTTGGCCTTTCCTCATCTATGATTTGAATAAAGACCTCTTGTCAAAGTTAGATGAAGCGTCATAAAGATGTTGAAGTCGTGGTTCGGGCTCGCGCTGTCGGCTTATTCGTTAGCGTTATTCAGGGATCGCAATAATTTTGGGATTAATCCAAAAAGGCCATCGGAGCTCTATAAACATCTAAGAGTTTCTAAGAGTCATGGACTACTATTACATAAACTGCTTTTGATAACTGCACAAAGTAACAGACTAGGATAAGGATCGAGTAGGAAAGCCAAACAAACGAATATATTAAACACTTTTATTCGGCAAGACGAGAATTCTCAATATAAGATCCATGCAATGAGCTTAGAAATACAGAATGAGAGGCTACACATATGAGATTTTTGCATCCCATTAGCACTAAAACGACCCACTTTAATTCATGATTGGTTGCCAGCTCAGATAAAATATTATCTCAATGTACTCCAGATGACTCACCCAGATCGATCGATCGATCGTACCGAAAAAACTTGCTACATCTGCAGGGAGGCAGTTGGAACTGCTAAGCATTTGCTGGTGAGATGTAGGTTACTCCTGGATAGCGATAAGTATTCGCGTCGCCCCTATAGGGTTTTAAAAATCATAGGTGAAGCGGTTAGTCTTTCGATAGCCAGAGCGCAAAAGAAATAGCAAAAAACGAGCGGTCAATAGGTTTTGTAAGAAAAGGCACTAGGGCTACAAAATCAAAGCTTACTGTATCATTAAAGCGGCTTTGGATTGGATTATAATGATGGATACATATGGGATATTTGTGTACAGAGCAGGCATATTTTTATATTCTCGAACTTCAGAGCGCGTTGTGCTAATAGAGCGTTCGGTTCCCTGGGAAACCAACATCCCCAATGACCATTCCATCGCGGTCAACGAGTATTACGAGCTCACTAACGAATTTACTAAGAGTAGGTTAGTTATAAATTTGTAGGCGTAGAAGTAGGAGCGAGAGTAATAACAGCTAAATCTCTCTACAATCTACTAAAAGATTCGTTCCTGTCAAGAAATAATATCAGTTCTTTCTTGGAACGAGCGAAAGCAGCCCTTGTAGGTTGGTTTAAATTTTTTTAGGTAGAGAGAGGATTTTAGACGGTTAGGGTGAGCATTTAAAGTTCTTTAGATTGGGGTCCCTTAAACCTACACCTGGATCGTAAATGCCAGGTACTGTTGAAGCTCCTCTCCCTACAACGCGATGGATCCTACAGGCGATCGGTGAATCCATGGAACACTGAGAAGTTTCTTCTCGTCTCTAACCATTTTAGTCTGTTTTATGCCGATCTCGTAATTTAGAGTAGACACGCGGGAAGTGGGGTGCATGCAGCGCTTAAAAGTAGTTTCCTTGTTTTTTTGTAAATTAGACTTTCCCTTCAATCCATGTATTTTAGAAGAGAAATCATTCTTGACATCGCAATCATAAAAAGTATGCAATAATTCTTCTAGAAATAATTAATAACCGAGAATATAAAATTATTTTATGTCAAATAATTTTTTTTTAACGTGACTGGCTCCACCTGCATACTATGGAATAAAATGTTTTAATTGAATTAAATAAAACAAAATTTTAAAAATAATTTAAATATTTTTACACAATACAAGATTGAATCACATTGTTTGACGTATGTAATTATTCCTAATATATTAATAAAAAACAAATCCTCGATACTTACAACAACTTTCTCACAACATCTTGTACATCCTTATTTAATTTAGCATAAGCAGGACTGCGATGACTGGTCTCCAATAAACTGATCCCTGTTCCTTCGAAGTCGGTAAATTCTTGTTTTAATATTTCATATACCTGATGGATATTTGTACATTATCAATCTGCACACAAATTTTTTAGATCGCAAAATATTATACTTACCTCCTCCGGCAACTTCGATGGCCCGGCCCCGAAATTGTGTATTTTAACCATGTTTTATAATTGAACACACGACCACGCTTACTCAGATATGACGCTAGACTGGTTCCTTGTTTCGTTGATCGTTTGTTAAACTAGATAGATAAAACGCAATTGGGATCGTATGATCCACGCATCACGTTATATAGCTTTTAAATGAATGACAAATTTTTAAAAAATGTATTATACTCCGATAATCCTTATCACGCAGGTGTCTTATGTTACACATCAAAGACACTGCAAAGGTATACCGCAGTGACAAAATATGACTTAATGAACAATAAAACCCTTGAAACAAGTTGTCTGGTCTCCCTGACGTAACTTAAATTACTACAGCGACAAGATGAGACCAAGAAGATGTCATTGCCATTTATGGCATCACAATGGTGACAGTAAAATTATAATACTACTAGAAGACCCGGCGAATTTCGTATCGCCCTATAATCAAAAAATATCTGTTACATTTTTTTATTTATATTTTTGGAGTTTACCTATTAAAGCCATAATCCTCCTTGTTTTGAAGTGCGACACAATGATTGACATATTAGTTAGTTGTCAAATCTAATGTTAAAAAAAACGTTTGTATCAACAACTACTAATAAATTAAAAATTAATTAAAAAATCATTGTCCAGCGGACAAAATTGTGAATCTAAACCATTCCCAGATCCCCTTGAACACACACAAAAAATTTCGGTCCATTCGTTTGAGAGAATTTCAGTGACATACACACTCACAGAAGAATTATATATATAAAGATTTATTTTGTAGGATTGTTAATCGAATTAAAAAATGCAAAAGCTTAGTTAAATAACAAAAACCTGAGGAAATGATAAAAAAATAAAAAAATCTGGTGTGCTTTTATGAAACCAAGCTAAAATTAAAGTTTTTTTCGATCAAATTTTATGTTATAATTAATATATGTTTTTTATGAGACCTATATGTTTTAAAAATATGAATGACATCCAACTATGTTATAATTTTATTTTCTATCTGCGTATTGGTGTACGGAACACGTTGTAAATGAAATTCTTTGCGGTCAGCTGATGCGAACTATTGGCGTGGTCCTAATTGCATCGGCTGCTCTCCTGTGATGTGACATCAGATGCTATAAAATAAAATCAGTTTGATAATAATTTATTACTATTCATAATCTTTTAAAACTTTCTATTACATTTTTTATTTTATAAATTAATAATTATAAAAAAATTGGCATACAAGGCGATAGATAACTATTTCTTGTCACCAAGGGCGAAATAGATACATTGTAGGTAAATAGGTTGATAATAATCGGCTATCAGAGATTAATAGGTACTTATACCCTTTTGAACCGACAGAGATTTTGTGCCAATTTTTCTATTACAAATGTTTGTGTCTAAAATTTAATAAACAATATATTATTAAAAATTATTTCGTGGTCTTTTATACATAAATAAAATTATGTATAATTAATACAAACTTTGATACAATTGAAATAACGAATTAGGTATTGAAATAATGACGTAATATAACATACATTTAAAAAGTACATAATGTGACGCGTGGATCATACGATCCCAATTGCGTTTTATCTACCTAGTTTAACGAGCGACCAACGAAACAACGAACTAGTCTAGCGTCATATCTGAATAAGCGTGGTCGTGTGTTCAATTATTAAACATGGTTAAAATACACAATTTCGGGGCCGGGCCATCGAAGTTGCCGGAGGAGGTAAGTATAATATTTTGCGATCTAAAGAATTTGTGTGCAGATTGATAATGTATAAATATCCATCAGGTATATGAAATATTAAAACAAGAATTTACCGACTTCGAAGGAACAGGGATCAGTTTATTGGAGACCAGTCATCGTACGCCTGCTTATGCTAAATTAAATAAGGATGTACAAGATGTTGTGAGAAAGTTGTTGTAAGTATCGAGGATTTGTTTTTTGTTAATATATTAGGAATAATTACGTCAAACAATGTGATTCAAAGTCAACCTTGTATTGTGTAAAAATATTTAATTTATTTAAAAAAAAATCATTTAACTTAATTAAAACATTTTATTTCAAAATATGCAGGTGGAGCCAGTCACGTTTAATTTTTTTTATTTGACATAAAATAACTTTAATATTCTCGGTTATTTATTATATCTAGAAGAACTATTGCATACTTTTTATGATTGCGATGTCAAGAACGATTTCTCTTCTAAAATACATGGATTGAAGGGAAGATCTAGCTAACAAAAAAAAACAAGGAAACTACTTTTAAGCGTCGCATACACTCCACGTCCCTTGTGTTAACGCTAGATTTCAAGATCGGCATAAAACAGACTAAAATGGTAAGAGACGGGAAGAAACCTCTCAGCGTTCCATGGATTCACCGAGCGGGTGTAGGGTTCATCGCGTTGTAGGGAGAGGAGCTTCAACAGTACCTGGGATCTACGACCCAAGTGTAGGTTTAAGGGACCCTATCCAAAGAACTTAAAACGCTCACCTCAACCGTCTAAGATCCTCTCTCTACCTAAAAAATTTGAAACGAACCTACTAGGGCTGCTTTCGCTCGTTCTAAGAAAGAACTGATGTTAGTTCTTGACAGGAACGAATCTTTTAGTAGGTCGTAGAGAGATTTAGCTGTTATTCCTGTCGCTCCTACTTCTACGCTTACAAATTTATAACTAATCTATTCTTAGTAAATTCGTTAGTGAGCTCGTAATACTCGTTGACCTCGATAGCATGGTCTTTGGAGATGTTGGTTTCCCAGGAAACCCAATGCTCTATTAGCGCAACACGCTCTAAAATTCGAGAACATAAAAATATGCCTGCTCTGTACACAAATATCCCATATGTATCCATCATTATAGTCGAATCCAAAGCCGCTTTAATGATAGAGTAAGCTTTGATTTTGTAGTCCTAGTACCTTCTCTTACAAAACCTAAGTTCGCTCGTTTTTTGCTATTTCTTTTGCGCTCTGGCTACTGAAAGACTAACCGCTTCACCTATGATTTCTAAAACCCTGTCGTGGCGACGCAAATACTTATCGCTATCTAGGAGTACCCTACATCTCACCAGCAAATGCTTAGCAGTTCCAAATGCCTATCTGCAGATGTAGCAAGTTTTTTCGGTACGATCGATCGATCGATCTGTGTGAGTCGTCTGGAGCGCATTGAGATAATATTTTATCTGATCTGGCAACCAATCATGAATAAAGTGGGTCGTTTTAATTCTAATGGGATGCAAAAATCTGATATGTGTAGCCTTTCATTCTGTATTTCTAAGCTCATTGCATGGATCTTATATTGAGAATTCTCGTCTTGCCGAATAAAAGTGTTTAATATATCCGTATGTTTGGCTTTAATACTTGATCCTTATCCTACTCTGTTACTTCGTTCAGTTATCATAAACAGTTTATGTAATAATAGAAGTCCATGACTCTTCGAAACTCTTGGGTGTTTATAGAGCTCCGGTGGCCTTTTTATATTCATGCCAAAATTATTGCGATACCTGAATATAGCTAACAAATTAGCCGACAGCGCGGGCCCGAACCACGACTTCAACATCTTTATGGCGCTTACATCTAACTTTGACAAAAGGTTTTTATTCAAATCATAAATGAGGAAAGGCCAATTCAAACGCGAATAAGATAATAATTAGCGTAGATCCAAGCTTTTTTGATGTTACTTATCGGTTGGTTATTGACTTTGTTAAGATCGTTTAAAATGCTACCCATTCCTTCTAAGGGTGGTGTATTACTTATCTTACGAGTTACGACCGAGGAATTTTAATTCTTTTTAAATTTCTTTTGTCATATTTTTCCATAGTCATGAATTGTTATTTTAGTACCATTTATTAAACTGCGATATATACAGTTGATAGGATCTAAATAAAATTGTTTTCCAAGTTTATGTCAGATGTTACTTTTAATTGATTAAAATAACACGGTATTGTAATCGATGTTCCATTGTTATATTTACATATAAGTTTTACTAACAGCTTTAAATGGATTAAGAAACCATGAAGGTTGGATTAAAGTTTCGAAGTCATACTTGGAGATTAATAGAGATCTGAGTCATAATAAAAAACTTTAAAGGTCCGTTTTAACGCAACCCCTTTTTAATAGTCTACTGTCGTCCGTTAAATTGTCAGTCCGTCATTCCAAGAATACCGTTATAACATTACAAAACTTATAATATATTGTAACTTCCTAAGTATAGTCGTGATAACGTGATTAATTGGAACGAAATTGTCAGAATCTTAAACCATAATGTTATGTTTTGCTTTAAGTGTTGGTTTTTTAAACGATTGATATAAAAGACTGACGGAAAACTAAAAAATTAATAATGCTGTACTAAAGTAAATCTTTTTATATAAAACAGTTTGTGTAGTCTCTGATATTTCTTTTTTGTTATGTCGAAGTTTTTTAGTTAGTAATAAGTTTCGTATGGGGATAACAACATTTATATCAATGGAACGGCAAATGACTGACAATACGTTATTATTTCAGAAATGTCCCCAACAACTACAAAATACTATTTCTATCTGGCGGCGGTCAGGGACAATTTTCTGCGGTGCCACTAAATTTAATATCACGTACTGGTTCAGCCGACTATGTGGTGACTGGTATTTATACTTACAATGACATATATATTAAGCCTTGCATTTAAGAATACATTAACGCTGAGAACATTTTATGATTGTGAAGATATAAGAAAGGAAAAATAACTTACATTTCCTCTATAATAAATGGATATAAAGAAAGTATTCAAGTAATAAAAATTATTCAGGTACCTGGTCAGCAATAGCCGCCAGGGATGCGAGGAAGTACGGTAAAGTGAACATGGTATTACCACCAACTGACCGCTATGTGGAAATCCCAGATCAGTCAACTTGGAAACTCGACCCCAACGCTTCCTATGTACATATTTGTACCAATGAGACGATAGACGGTAAGCTAAATGTAATAGAATAAGGAAAGTTAATGAAAGTCATACAAATAAGTTAAATTTTCTGTATTGTAAAAATATTTCTGTCTTTAGGAATAGAATTTGATTTCATCCCGGACACTAAAGGAGTGCCTTTGGTCGCTGATATGTCTTCCAATTTTATGTCCAAGAAAATTGATGTTTCTAAGGTTGGCTACAAATATATATATTTTTTTATATTAATTTAAATTGTGAAGAAAAAGTTTATATATGTACATATATCGTATATTTCGGTTCAGTTTGGAGTCATTTACGGCTGTGCTCAAAAGAACATGGGTACTGCTGGTGTTACTCTAGTTATAGTGAGAGAGGATCTCTTAAACCAAGCGCTACCCATTTGCCCCTCAATATTGGATTGGACCGCCAATGCGAGATCGGATTCCATTCTTAACACACCGCCGATGTATGCGTAAGTATATGCTTATAAAAATATATTTGAATTTTAAAACAGTACAAACTTTTAGGCTTAATATTCATATTTTGATGATAGTATCCAGGTGATGGGACGAGTGCTCCAATGGGTCGACAGACAAGGCGGTCTCGATGTGATGGCTGAATTAGTGAGCAAGAAGTCTTCACTCATCTATGACGTCATTGAAAATTCAAACGGCTTCTACAATACATCGGTCGCCAAAAAAGACAGGAGTAGAATGAACATTCCGTTTAGAATTGGATATCCGAACGGTGATGAAGCTTTGGAGGAGGAGTTCTTAAAGGGAGCCGAAGCGTTAGGTCTCATACAATTAAAGGGACATAGGTAATATATAGTTGAAAGTAACATGTCATTTTAAAACTGCGATCCTATTCAATCTTTTCTTTCTATTTTTTCAGTCTTGTCGGTGGAATTCGTGTTTCAACTTACAATGCAGTGACAGTGGAGGATGTTCAGACTCTTGTTAGCTACATGAAAGATTTTCACAAAAAACATGCCAAGTAAAATACATTTGTATATAGTTAAGTATACAGATAGATAGACATACATTTATTTATATTTTTTGTTGAAATAAATTTCTTGAAAGTACTGATGTAGTTGGCCACTGAGGCAAAGAGAAAGAGTAAAATTGGAATGAAATTGCAGGATATACTCGATAAACTAAAACATTAGTGGAATCAATAAAGGACATGAGAGAAAATAAGATGTCATATATTTGATAATTAATCAAAAATAAAACTATATGATTTAAATGAATTGTGTTTTAATTTAGACTTACAAAGTCTCTTAATTCCCTTGCAATTGGACAGGCCTAGTGTTTTGCATACTTACTTAAACAAAAATAAGTGACGCCACAAAATGTAATCTCACGAGTCATGTCATTTTGAAATATTACATACAGATAGGTATAGGTATAGTATGCTTCTTGATTATTTGACAAAAGTGTTTAAATTATTATTAAATAAAAAGATTGTTAGGTAAAATTGTAGCTAAGCATGCTGGGCTTGATAAAATCACTAGAGTTGTATCCATCAAATGTAAAAACGGTATATTAAAGACGCTTGTCAGAAAATTCGCAATTAAATCATATCAAAATTAATTGACCCTATATGTAAGATGCTTGATATTTATTCTCTCATTTTTTTGCTAACAAACGAACTAAAAATAGCAATTGTTGTCTCGAGATACCTTAATAATTCTTAAGACGGGCTTACATGTTTAATATGTACCTACTGATAATTTGAGCCTTGTTCATATGTCATCAAATAAATCTATTCTTACTGAATAACGATCTTAATTTATAAATAAGATATAATATAACTAATACTATATTTTCAGTGTAGTTCCTTATTTATGTCATCCTTGCGAAAAACTGCACAGTATTTTTCACAAACGTCACGTAGTGTGGATAAAAGCTTCTACTTGCAAGTTTCATGTTGACAAACTTCTTCAGATAAATACAATACTTACAGTTGTAGACAAAGCCTTAAACAGAGCTCCTCATGAATATTGACCTAAAAAAGCTTCTTGTAAGGACATTTTACAGTTGTTGAATTATTGAATGGCTTTTGTCATGCTTGGAAGAACAGTTATTCCACGTGGTTTTAAATGGAAATGGTATTCTTAGACTATTAATATTCACAAAAGTTATGTACCCACGTCTAATATTTTTATCTAATTCTCTTATGTATTTAAAAAGATTGTTTATCTGTGAAGATTTTTTAATTGCCCAGATTTTTCTAATAAACTAAAGATGAAATTAAACTAATATTTTCGGATTATTACGCGTTATATTTACTTGTCATTTAACAAGACCAACTGACAGACATTCTCGTTTCGTCTGCAAAGTAACCGAAACGTCGTGAGTGTGTAGTTTTTAAAATAATAAAATAACGCGTAGTTATTCGAAAATATTAGTTTCATTTGACTGACTAATCGCGAAAGTCTTAGATCACATTAAACTGAAGATTAGATTTTCTTCTAAATTATGAGTTCTTTAATTTATGATGTTACAATGTGAAGCTTTATAATGTACCATAAGTATTTAATGAAAATTGACTTGAAATTTACCAAGGTTTTATGTTTTCTATGATTAAAATCACAAAACCTTAAATAAGATATTCGAATAAGATAAAATCAAAATGAATTGACCATATACATATGTAAGTAAACTGATAATAACGATCTTTGATATTTTCCCTTATTAATTTTGGTATGTGCTGCTAACGAACGAAATATAGCAATTATCTCGAGATACTTTGATAATTCTTAATACAGGCCTAGTTAGTTTATATATAATTCAGATGGTGTATAATAGTTAGCTATCTTTCTTACCATATTCTTACGTTTTTGACCAAAAGTTTTAGTTTATTATTCATATACAAAAACAAGTTTTACGTCTGTGACGACTATAATATGTAATAATTTATCATTATACTTTGTCAGTTACTTATAAAGTCAACGCTTTAAGCACAGTCTTTCAATAACTAAAAACTATTTAATGGGAACATAGTACAAAAAATTATGTGTATATATTTTTTTTAAATAAATTTAAGACAATATCATTAAAGGTTTAGTATAGTCCCTCTAATTTTGACATATATCTATCGCATGTCGTTTTAAAACCTGACGCGGGGTAGAGTGAAAAATGGTCCGAAGAAGAGCAAAGATTAATATGGCGATTCCAATGATTCCGCTCCACTTGACCGCGTGGCTAAATAAATTTTTGCACCCAATCCAGAGGGTACTTCGCATTATTGTATTTGATTTTTAAAAAAACCTTGTGGTTTATTTTTCACATTCATAAATAAATTTATTTATTATGCACTAGCTTTCCGCCCGCAGCTTTGCCCGCGTGGAGTTCTGTTATATCGCGTTTCCAAGAGAACCTTTCAAAAGTCTGGGATAAAAACTATCCTATGTTCTTTCTCAAGGTTAACTCTATCTCTGTACCAAATTTTATTAAAATCAGTTCAGCGGTTTAGGCGTGAAAGCGTAACACACAGACAGACAGACAGAGTTACTTTCGCATTTATAATATTAGTAAGGATTGTGTACCTAAATATGCAGCTTTAAAGTAAAATACATAGTTGGATGTCTTATTATCCCATAACTAATATAAATTAAAACATTTAATAAAAAACCCGACCCAATTAGAAACATGAAAACAACCAGTCAAGACAAATTCAACGAGTCCAAACTCGATGGGTAATCCAGGGTTACGTCTCTTATCTTCGAGCCCTAACAGCAGACCAGCTCAGTGGTTCCAGAAGATATTAGTGTTTCAAATGTCAGATCGCACATATGCTTGTAAGCAAATTGTGCGTGGAACATTCCTATCACACCTAACAAACGACTTGATGACCTGAACCGATTTCCACCAAACATAGCTAAGAACACTCGACGGATATTCCTTTCAAACAAAAAAAACGTATTAAAATTGATCATTCGTTTGGGAGCTACGTTGCCTCAAACAGACTCATACACACACTGACACACAGACACGTCAAACTTATAACACCCCGTCATTTTTGCGTCGGGGGTCAAAAAGGGTGTATTTCTTTTCCGTAAACACACTTAATATATAAAGATACTAGAAGACCCGGCGAACTTCGTATCGCCCCATAATCAAGAAATATCTGTTACGTTTTTTTATTTATATTTTTGGAGATTTATGGCTTTAATAGGTAATTAAAGCCGTAAATCTTCGTGCTTTGAAGTGCGACAGAATGATTGACATATTAGTTAGTTGTCAAATCGAATGTCCAAAAAAAACGTTTGTATCAACAACTACTAATAAATTTATAATTAATTAAAAAAACACTGTCCAGCGGACAAGACTGTGAATCTAAATAATTCCCAGATCCCCTTGAACACACACAAAAAATTTAATAAAAATCGGTCCACTCGTTTGAGAGAAGTTCAGTGACGTACACACGCACAGAAGAATTATATATATTACTAAACAAAAACCAATGTAGCGCTAATTTGTCAAATTAACAAATATAGTTTGTTTGAAAGTTAAAGTACCCATCTGTCAAGTACAATATAGGGAATAAATAGGCACTAATAACTTCTGAGACGATCCTGTCAACTCTGTTCAGAAATATTTTCTCTTTGATAAAGATAAAAACAAAGAAAGTAAAATAAAATCATTTTTGATCAATTAATTTGCAATAAATTGTTTGATTTAAAAATATATTATAATTTTCTAAATTTATTTTCACATGTCTGTCAATAATATTTTTAATCTGTATCCGGTGAGATTATTCGATTTTTGTGTTCTTGATGTGAAGCGATCTGCGAATCTTCGTTATTGGTCTGTGATGTCTAATGTAATAAGTAATTTTTACTTTAATATTGTTGTACTCCGTCGTTTTCACTTGAAAGGTGACTGTTAAGTACTAATTCTCATATCAAATCCTCTCTAATTATCACCGGTTTAAAATAACAACAATAAAAACCTCGCAAGGATATGCCTCCTGTAAAAGATGATCTGATTTTTAACTGTGTAGAGGTAAACATACCTGAAAAAAGCCCTGGAAAAGGTACAGCATTAGTTGATGTGAGGGCCTGTAATAAACCCGCCGCTAAGGTAAGTTTGATAAATAAACTAAATACACAAGTCACTATATCACTGTCTTTATTTGTCCGAATTTTTTTTAATATAAATAATATCTGAACCGAAAAAGTTTAAATTTTATGATACTCAAGAAAAATGTTAAACTAATGTTTTTCATATATGAATAGTTATAAATCAATAATTGCATGACTGCTTTTTATTAATCTTACCTCTAAATAGTTGCTTTTATCGTTTATAGAACCTAACATTTTCCATATACAAAGTTACAAAGCATGTGAGAAATTACATATTGTAAATAAATCAGGTCGCTTGAAAGAATTAAATCTGTGCTAGTTATATGTATACAAAATCAATTGAGGTCAAGCATTTTTAATATTAATTTTAATATAGATAATGAGAGAATCATTGTTTAAAAGACAATAGCACATAATAGATATATAAATTTTGATTATATCTGTCCTAAAAAAATTAATGTTTTTTTTTATTCACACTTTTTTAAGCTTTGTCTGATAAATAATATTTTAAATATGTGAATTAAAAAAAGCAGTCCCAAAGTTATTCCCAAAGAGGTTAACGTCAGACAGACGGCCGGTCGTAAAACAGTTAGCCCAAACTTTTCACAACATATATGGCAGACCCTGGCTATATCTGGGAAATTGCCAGGTAGAAGATCAGACATAACTTTGTAAAATCAGTCAGCAACTGTAACAATTAGCAACCCAAAGTTATGTAATCGACCATTCTCTTTAAATTAACACAAATTCTTGCACTAATTTTATAATTTGTGAATTATATTCAGTTATGCAAGCACAGTGAGACTATTAAATTTGATATAACACAACTAGTGTAGTGGGTTTAGTTGTTTATATTATTGCTTTAATTATAATCGCAATAGTCTTTAATGTTCACTTTTGATACAAGTTAACAAAGTTTTTTGCTATACTTAGTCTAAATTTTATTTTAAGCCGATAATTTTATGCATAGAAATCTTAATAAAACTATGTTTTTAGTTTAACTTTATTTGAGAATAGTCAATGTGGGCTTGAACGTACAATAATATTGCAGAAAGTAAATCCGAAGCACTTATTATAGTATTATTTATTTCTGATTCCAAGTTTAACAATATTCTTTTGAACAAATTTAAACAATCAATCCAACATAGTTACCAAATAAATACAAAAAACATAGTTTTATTTACAATTTTTGAAATTTGGACAAAGCTAATATAATACAATGCACAAATTCTTTACATACTCATTATTCACCATCGATATTTCACCACAGCAGCGATGCTGTAAATAATATTTTTAACAAAAAAATAACATTTATCTAGTACTGGCAATGCAAACCTTAAGAAATTAAATAAGTTTTTTATCTAAATGTTGTGTTGCCAATAATTTTATATGTTATAGTATAGAAGCTTTGTGCATGTTATATATTTTGTATATTATTTTTAACCAAAAAACTATGTATTTACTAAATTTCTAATCATACAATTTTATGTTGTATCATAAAAAAATAAGTATATCAATTTATTTGCTTTTTTTTTGTTATGGAAAGAACATTAAATATTTTACTGTTAAATTTTGTTACAAATAAAATATACATAAGCAGATGTCATTTTAATTTGTTTTTTTTTAATTTCTGTATATTACATACTTTCTAATTATTTTAATTATATTCCAAAGTATTCACTAGATCTATATGTAATTTGTTAAGCATTCAACAAAGTGGTTTGTTGAACGAGAAGTCATTCCACAATTTGTTATACAAAAATTGTTTCTAATACATAATTTCCATACATACAAATGAGATTTACTTTCATATTTGCATGCATTTGAATTTAGAACATTACGTAATAAAACGCATCGAACATGTAATTTAGCTTTTGATTGTTTTAATGTACAGCACAATGGTAATAGTAATTTCTCTCTGCGACTTTTCACTTTTTTTTTTCTTTTCGCATGCCTCCCCAGGCACGCGTCTTTCTGTAATGACGTTCTCAATTTGAACTTGACAGTTGACTCGTGATGTAGTGACAGTTATATTTTTTAATTTAGTCGCTCTGACATTTGTGTTTTTTTTTTCTTTCATAATTTCAGTTCAGCCAGTGATGTGGATTCGTGTTTTCTGTACTTTGTTTTACATTATTCTGTAAGACGCACAGTATGCTGTAGTACTATTTTTATTTTTTTTTTTGTTATTGGGAGTGTGAATATTGTAGTGCATGCTTTTGAAATTTGCACCATAGAGGAGTACCATGACTAATTCACAGGTATTAGATTTTTTTTATTTATTTGTGCTTTTATGTTATTTTTAAATGTTTTGTTTTAATTTATAAGTAGAATTATTTTTAAACTAAACATTCTATAATTACATCGAATTTAGAAGTATTCCAACGTAAAAGTGATGTTCTTAAATGTTAAGAAGCGCTCTTTCAACAATAGTGTTAGTTATTACTTATTGTTCGTCACTTATAAAACAGTTTTTACGTTCATAGATTTCTAAATACATTGTATGAACTCTCATACTTATATATTATACATATATATAGATAGTGAGAAAGATTTATAAATACTTGAAGTAATTGAACCCATTGAGGCTAACTAATAACGGCTTCAACAAATATAGGGCACGATCTAAATTCCTAAACATATCGTGTTATAAAATGAGTGATAATAACTAAAGTTATTTCTAATAGTAAATAAAATAGGATTTATAGAAGATTCTTATACAGAGATGCTTACTATTATACAGGGTGACTGGTGAATTACTATGGATATTTGACGATCATATATGACAAAATAAAAATTAATATAACATAAATATGTATTAATAAACTTCTATGTAAAGTTAACCAAAAGTTATGTAATTAATTACGCATCGTATGAACACCCTACAGATTAGGTATAAACACACACACACACGCGTGCGCGGCGTGGTGTTGTATCAGCACGCCGCCGCACGCGTCAACACTTGGAACACTTGGAACGTGTCCACAATTTATTTATTTATACGGAAATTTGGTAAAAAATTAAGTACCTATTTTTTTTACATAATTCGAATGAGAATCATGTACCGAGTATTCTCCTTAAATATTGATAGTAATTCACCAGTCACCCTGTATAGATATAGAGATGCTTACTAATATATATTTAATAATAAACTGATAAAAATTCTATATTACATGACTTATAAACGTCTATTTAGGGCTAATTCCAATTATTCGAGATAAATTTAATCCAAAATTTCTTCATTAATTTACATAATAAGCTGTTCTAATCCAAAAAGAGTAATTAAAATAAATGTATCATATAAAATTTGTTTAGTAGGTATAACGATTTTTTATTACGTAAAAAAATATCAGTAATAAGATTAGTAAAAAATCAATTTAATCCGATAGATGAAACCAGTTTTAATAGGCGTCGTTAATCAACCTTTCAGTTTGACCGAAGCTAATTTATAACGAGCGTGCTCTGAAACAAAAAAACCGTTGAAATAGATATACTTGTTAATAATTGTATGAAATGAAACTAATATCTTCTACTACTTATTAATAGTAGTATAATACTACTCGATCTACTTATTAATATAAGTATCACATAAATGAATACTCGCGAAAGTATTAGATCTCATTATAAGAATAATTGTATCTTAGCAAGGAATTAAATAGCGTAAAGGTCGATAGTAACCCTACTAATAGTTTTAATAGTCACTATATACAAATTAACAGTTTTTCATTCATTTATTTAAAACAAGCTGCGCCCCGCGGTGTTACCCGCGGATTTCCGGGATTTAAAGTAGCCTATATGTTATTCCTGGACGTCAGCTTCCTGTATACAAAATTTTATCAAAACCGGTTCAGCCGTTTGAGCGTGAAGAAGTAACAAACATACACACACACTCACAAACTTTCGCAATTATAATATTAGTGGGACAGTATTAAAAGTGGTGGCCTAATGGTTAAAAGGCCCACCTCTCGTTGCCAAGGGAGCGGGTTCGATCCTGGCAAGTCCCAAGGTGATTTTTCCGAGTCATGTGCACTTTCTAAGAGTATTTAGACACACTGACAGACGGTGAAGGAAAACATCGTGAGGAAACCTGGACTTATAGTTTCACAATTATAAGTTTAAATCACCAACCCGTCTTAAGCAAGCGTGGTGATTAATGCTCAAATCTACATGATAGAAAGAGCCTTGGCTCAGCAGTGGGCTCTGATAGGCTTATAAAAAGTATTAAAAGTAATTGAAACATAATTAAATGGTATGTTCAATATATTTGATTACTAGCTTTCCATCCGCAGCTTTGTCCGCGTGGAGTTTGGTTCAATCGCGTTTCCAAGAGAAACTTTCAAAAGTCTGGGATAAAAACTATCCTATGTTCTTTCTCAAGGTCAACTCTATCTCTGTACCAAATTTCATTAAAATCAGTTCAGTGGTTTAGGCGTGAAAGCGCAACAGACAGACAGACAGAGTTTCTTTCTCATTTATAATATTAGTAGGGATTATCCTATAGTTCAAATTATGAAGTATTTCATAGATTTAATTGTACTAGATTATCGATGCGTATGTATTAGTTTTCGTGACTTACAATTACTTAATACATATCTGATTTTATTTTATATAATAGCAGGTAAGTTTTCATACATAAATAGAATAGCAAATCCCTAAATCATAATTTCAGTACATTTTATCTCAAGATATATTTATTCGTAGGTATGGTTCCGTGGCGTACGTAGCTCAAAGTTCCGTCATGTTTACGGAGTTCCTTTCAAACGTGAGAGATGCTATGATAACATAAAAATAACTAGGAACGCCCACGATTCAAACTTCTGCGCTGTAAATCCTAAGTTTGTGGCTATAGTCACTGAAGTGGCTGGTGGGGGAGCATTCTTAGTACTGCCTTTGGACCACGTGAGTATTATACTATATACAGGGTGTTCGTATTTTATTGTATGTTAATATACAGTGTGTTCATATTTTATTGTATGTTGATATATGTACAGTATGTTCATTGTTTTGTAAGACATAATTAATGTAATAATCCTAATCATTTTGTTCTGTTCGATTTTATATGTTGTTATACGATATTTCAGTTGAAAAATATTGTTGTTATAGTGATTATATAGAATTTTGCCACATTGATAATTTAAACTCTTTAATACAATTACTTATTTGAGTAATGACGTAACAGCAAAAATTAATTAAGAGCTTCCTAATTTTTGAAATCGGTTAAATAGTAGTCTGTTATTCGTCAAAATCGGTCATACCGTAATAAATATTATCTGGAACAAACAGACAGACACAAGAAAAAAAATGCACTTTTTATGGTATCGTATATATTTTATACGTAATTATTGAAAATCTTTATTATAAATTAAAAATATATATTTAAATTTTATTTATTACTATAGATATAGATTATAGATAGGCATAGATGACATTAGATGTCACTGATAATAAATGCATTAGCCGTTAGACGTCAGTGTTGACGTGTTGCAGCTATGTAACGTGACATGTCATTAATATTATAATTAATGATTTAATTATTAATTTATTATAATATAAATGACGTCATATTTCATATTATGTCATGTCATAAGTTCTATAGTATCATTAAATTTGAATTTTAGCCTCTCCCATATTTTTTGTATAATAGTCCTAAAGCAATATTTCATACAATTAAATGTTACATATTATGTGTGAATTAAAATTATATTTTTTATTGCGATTTTAATATTCTCTGTATATTAATGTTCTCGTTAAAAATATAGCTAAGTGCTCGCGTGAGAAATGAAACTAAATCTTAATGAAATGTACTGTTGAGTCCCGAGCGGCGCGAGTGTAATTGACGCGGAATTATTTCATACAATTTTAAATGGTATACGCCATATACATTCTAAGTTCTATTATATTTTTTTGGCTATATAACCTCTTTGATAAAAATGTCAATGTGTAAATCTGGCTGAAGATTAAAAAAAAATATTAGAAATTACATTTGTAACATATGTACGCTAGATAAAAAAAATGAACTATGACTTGAAAGTTAAGTCTGGTCGATTGTGGTATTCACAAATATCAATAAAAATTCAGCCAAATACACCTTCTATCACTAAGTGTAATTTTATATATTTTTCCAATTTACATACTTCTGCTTTGATAAAAGTTTATATAATCAAAAACTTAAAAACCTCTATGGTTTAACATGTTCTATTTTTAAAAATTATCTATGTATGAATCTAATCTTGTAGAAAAGCTTTCGACAAACATATTCCACTCTAGTTCTATACGCAAATCAATAACCATCGATTGTTCAGCTGACAACGTGTTTACCGTACGAATAAAAAACATATAAAGTATATACTAATAAAATTCATAATTGGAACGAATGAAATATTTATTAGTTAGTTTCATAATATATAAATCACATTTTTTTCACTATCAGTTATACGATGAGAACCCCATTACAAGTTTAAAAATAGAATTAAAGTTGCCTATATATTTTTTTTGTTTTACGTAACTGCTGCGATACTGAAACACGTTGTGTAACTGAAAAAAAAAATTATCGTTCTTAATTCATCATTAGTGCATTAGTATTAACAAGTTCAAAAAAAGAATACATATTTATGAATTTTAATTAAAACCTCCTTTAAGTTTTTTTTTATCTATGCGGCCAGTACTTTTTTTTAACTATATATAAATGAATTACAGACCGGTCGTCTGGATTTCAACGCGAGCCGCGTCACGGGACACAAGGGTCCTGTTTTGGATATTAAATGGAACCCATTCAACGACAACGTGATAGCCTCCTGTTCTGACGACTGCACGGTTATATACTTTATATATATAGATATTAATTATCTCATAATATTTTTAAGGTTATGGTTTTCACTATACAGTTATTTCAATATGAAAAAGTTTTTATATGATATTGTTTCATAAAAGTTGTCAGTATTGATATCAATAGAAGTCAATGACTTATATAAGTCAGCATTATCAGCAAAACAAATATTAACTAAATGGATCAATACTTGTTTTAGAATGCCTTGTCAACATATGGTCATATATAAATATTTATGTGGTAGAATCATATAAGACTTTTAAATATTATAACAATTTTACTTAAAAAGGCTTGATATATCTATAACTTTAAAATAACAATAAACAAAACAGACTTGCAAAATTTTACTAAATATTATCAATTAAGTATTTAGACATCACTGATTAATGCATTCCCAAAAAGGATTGATGTCAGGCAGGCGGCCGGTCGTAAAAACCTTTAGCCAAAACTATTCACATCATGTAAGGCAGACCCTAGCTAAAAGCTGGGAAATTGCCAGGTAGAAGAAGAAAATTGTCAATACAAATCTATAACACATACATCATTATAGTGACGCACCTTTATCAATAGCTAATATTAATTTATCGATATTTTTCCAGGTGAAGCTATGGCACATCCCCGATGGTGGTCTATCCATGCACCTCACTGACTGGCTGGTAGAGCTTCATGGACATAAGAGACGTGTGGCTTACATAGAGTGGCATCCAACAGCTGAGAACATACTGTTCAGTGCTGGGTTTGATTATCTGGTTGGTTAAAACATATATAATATAAACAAATATATTTCACTTATAAATACATAGACTTAAATGATTTACAATAAGTCAGAGAATAAAGAAGTTTTTTTATTAACATATATTGTTTATGCTAATTGATAGATAGGCTTGTTGTTTTGAAGTTAGTAGTTTTGATGTTGCTTTACTCAAATATTCTTAAATGGTATTTTGATGTATTCTAAGTCAGAAGTGGTCACTTGTCATAAAATGGAAAAAAGAAAACATATTCAGTATAATTCTTCGTTATGTAGTTGTTTATGATTAAGCAAATATTTACCACAAAGTATTCATACACATTGCAATATTCACAAACATATATTAAAAAAAATAAGTTTAATTTAAATTCCATAACCATTATTCTTAAATCAATAAGTCACAAACATCTACCCTAATTTTCTTCATACAAATACAATATTAATTATTTCTAATACACTATATGTTATATTTCCAGATCTTTGTATGGGATGTCGGTAAGGGCGAGGCTGTGAAGGTGATCGATTGCCACAGCAATGTAATCTATTGTATGTCCTTCAATCGAGACGGATCACTACTAGCGACTACCTGTAAGGACAAGAAACTACGGGTTATAGAGCCTAGGCGAGGTATCGTGCTGTCTGTGAGTATATAAATATTATTTAATAATCTATACTAATATTATAAAGCTGAAGAGTTTGTTTGTTTGTATGAAAGCGCTAATCTCCGAAACTGCTGGTTCGAATTGAATAATTCTTTTTGTGTTGGATAGTCCAGCTAACGAGGAAGGCTGTGGGCTATATAACATCACGCTACAACCAATAGGAGCAAAGATATAGTGGTAAATGTGTAAAAAACGGGAGAAATTAGTTCATCTTTGAAGCCTTCCGTTGCGTGCGCCGTGAAAACGGTTCAAGATACACAAAAAATATGTGTTAAAGAATCATAGCTCTTTTAATGATCTAAAAAACAGTCCGCGACAGTATATGTCTATCTTTTAAGATTAACTCACAAAAACCGTTGTTATGGTACCTAATTTGGTCAAAATAATTTGTTTAAGTTGTATCAACATAATAATATTAATCTTTATTCAAATAAACAAATAAATATGTTGTTGGTTAAGAGTACTTCATTGTGAATTAAAAAAAAAACATAGGTTTCATCCTGAAAATTCTACGGGAACTCGACCATTCCAAAAACCCCGCAAGAACGGGAACTATGTGGGAAGAACCAAAAATCTGCCGGAAGTCACTATTCCACGCGGACGAAGTCGCGGCAAAACCTAGTATATACATATATCCCTACTCCCTACTAATATTATAAATGCGAAAGTAACTCTGTCTGTCTGTTACGCTTTCACGCCTAAACCACTGAACTGATTTTAATGAATTGGTACAGATATAGAGTTGACCTTGAGAAAGAATATAGGACAGTTTTTATCACAGACTTTTGAATGGTTCTCTTGGAAACGCGATATAACTGAAGTCCACGCGGGCGAAGCTGCGGGCGGAAAGCTTGTATAAACATATTTAGATAGAGTCCCAACAAATATTGTAACATTCTACATAGTTTTATATAGTGATTGGCGATTATGAATGATGGGCATAATCGATTTATACTGTGCCACTAATGTCGATAATAATAATCGATTATTGAATTAGTTACTAATATGTATTCATAATCATAATGTTGCTAATAAGGAATATTTACCGTTTTTGTATAAACTGACTTTAGTTGTAGGAATTAGTATGCATAGTCATTGTTTAGTTAGTTTTTTTATTGCAGATTATTATTATTTATTATTAACCACTAACTTCTAATCGCGATATCTTGAGACATTGAAATTCGAATGATTTCGTTAGGTTGTTTACAATATGGCCTTCATTATTGCAAAGACGTGCACAGTATATTCGGCCAATATTTTGTGGAATGATTTCGTTAGCATATCTCATAATCGCCAACCACTAGTTCTATTACTTATTTAAAATTTTCATAAATAAATGAAACTCATATTTCATGATAATTATGCGTTACTTTATTATTATAAAACTACTTCCTATTCTTCCGACGTTTTAACTACTTTGAACCAACCGTAATTACGACAAACGAGATGAAAAAATAAATTTTCCATAAATAAATACTAATGAAAGTCTTATATATCATTAATAGATAGATTGTTTTAACCATAATATATATTGTATATATGTTATATTTTCCAGGAAGGGCCCTGTCACCTCGGTACGAAAGCATCAAAATGTACGTTCCTCGGCGCCCAGTGTAAAGTATTGACTACGGGTTTCTCACGACACAGTGATCGTCAATACGCTGTGTGGGACCAACACGACGTGAGCGAACCACTCGCCTGTGAAACAATCGACAGCTCCTCTGGAGTAGTATTCCCATACTACGATTATGATACCAACATGGTAAGAAACCTACTATCATCTTCTACCTGGCAATTTCCCAGCTGTAGCCAGGGTCTACCTTACATGTGAATAGTTTTGGCTATTTGTTTTTACCGGCCGCCTGCCTGATATCAACCCTCTTTGGGTATGCATTAATCAGTGATGTCTAAATACTCTTAGAAAGTACATATAACTCGGAAAAATCACATCGGTACTTGCCAGGGCCAGGATCGAACTCGCGCCCTCGTGCATGAGAGGCGGGCCCTTTAACCACTAGGCCACCACTGACTATTAAGACCCTACCATCGACATATACTAATGGACATGCCTTAGAGAATTGTGGCACTCCAAAAGAAAGAGAGGAAACTAAGTTTCGGTCTACATTTATCTCTCTCAAAATAGTACCGTACTTAAGACGTTATGAGCCCCTTCTGGATAATTTATATGCCGTGCTTGTCATGAAAACGGAGCGCCAATCATCTATTAGGAAAGAGATAGTGCTAGACCGTAAGCATAGGCCATCTCTCTCACTCGTTTCAAACCAAAAAATTACTGCAGATTATACGCGTACGGCATGTACGTGTAGTATATGTCGATAACCCCTACTATTGGCCATAACTCACTCACTCACCATTCAATAAATGCAGGGTGTATGAAAAACTGTGTCAACCCTCTTAACTACGTTATCAGTATCGATAATGTAACACAATAAAACAACTAACATTTAAAAACTTTTCAATAAAAATAATAAAATTAAATATTAAATGATTATTATATGTAGAGTAACAAAATGTTTGTACCCACTGGTATAACACGATGACACGCAATGACGTCATCACACCTGTTGCGCTACTAGTGACGACCTTGAAGTTACTTTCACATTATTGAGAATATCGATATTTAAAAAATCATAACAATAAATAAATATTTAATATTCATATTATTTCGATACTTATTTTGATATATCAAACATTAATATTATGTTTGATTGTAAAACATCATTTTTAACAGAAATAGATTAACGATTTATCCTAATAATACAACATATGTAGTTAATTTACCTGAACAAGTTTCAAATTATAATATTTATTATTAATAAAAGTTATTTTAAATGAAATTATTTTAATGTGAAAAGCATAACTATTTATACCAATATTGAAAATGTCGATAGAATATTTATCGATATAACTAATTTTTACACTTTCAAATCTCTATTCGACAACTAACTGAATAGTAATAATAACGCCGGCGGCCCGTCGCCTGCGGTCAATGGTCACGCATGCGTCGTAGCGACTATACGGTGTCTTGACCTTGTATGAGTCAGATGTTTGGAACATATTTTCGAAAAATGTCGATTTAAAACTTACTTAGCCTATGCACTGTAACTGACTTCTGCTTGATTTTTTTTAAGTTATACTATTTTTTATAATAAGCTTATACTTATATGTATACGTGCCTTCAAGGGTTGACACAGTTTTTCATACACCCTGTATATGTAATAATTATCTTTGAAGTCTTGTTGAATACAGGTGATGAAACCAAAATTAATGAAATAATTATTAGACAGTTTTAATATACAGGGTGACTGGTGAATTACTATCAATATTTAAGGAGCATACTCGGTACATGATTCTCATTCGAATTATGTAAAAAAAATAGATACTTAATTTTTGACCAAATTTCCGTATAAATAAATAAAGTGTTGACACGTTCCAAGTGTTCCAAGTGTGGATGCGTGTGGCGGCGTGCTGATACAACACCACGCCCCCGCCGCGTAGGTGTGAGTGTGTGTGTATACGTAATCTGTAGGGTGTTCACACGATGCGTAATTAATTACATAACTTTTAGTCAACTTTACTTAGAAGTTTATTAATATTTATGTTATATTAATTTTTATTTTGTCATATATGATCGTCAAATATCACGTCCTCAAATATCGATAGTAATTCACCAGTCACCCTGTATATAGTTTAAATTTTATTTGAAAAATATATTGTAGTAAATGAATTATAAAAATTAAAATCACTAACCGTGAAAAGTTAGACATTTCAATGAAGTAGTAACTGTTAATATTAAACCATTGGAACGACTTGATTGAGTTATTATTATAAGTTAATTAATAGTTCAAGCTGTTGTAATGATTACAAGATGTGAGCATGCAATAAGTGAATTAAGTTATGCTATATATCTTATTACTTAATACAAAACTTACATAATAATTATATTTATTCTACTTATAAATGTAAAAAAAGCTGTAAAAGTATGTTCAACATTCATTTACTGAGTTTACAGAAATTTCACAGATATTATTGTATTATATGTATTATACTAGCACCATCTCTGGTTTCTCTCTAATAATTATTTAGTTATGAAACTAAATCAGAGCTTTATGTTCATGTTTAATACAAAAATATAACATAAAAGCATATTATACATACATATATATATATGTTATTTTTATAGGTGTATCTGGCTGGCAAAGGCGACGGTAATATTCGTTACTACGAAGTAGTAGATGAGGCGCCCTACGTACATTTCCTGAACCAATTCCTCTCAGGAAACCCTCAAGTAGGTTATTTATATGAAAAATACTTCAAAAGATATCACTTTATTAAAGACCTAATTATATATTTAGTAAAATAAACACCTTAGTGACATAATATGTTGTAGTTATTGAGAATTTTTACTTTAGTCGCAAAAATAACTACATCGATTTCAATGTGAATTTTAAAATAATATAACTATACATCAGAATACAATACTACATAGTTATAATTTATCACGAAATTATATATAGTTTCTGTATGGACTTATTACATCCCAAAGACTCTTAGTTTGCTTTTTATTTGTTAAATATATTTAATTTATAATTACACAGTAAATTAACTTAATAGCCAATATGTCCTCTATTAATTCTGTGTTCGCATAAACTACTACATCGATTTTAATGTAAATTTTAAAATCATATATGGTACACATCAGAATACAATACTAATTATAATTTATCACGAAATTATATGTAGCTCTATACACCCCAAATACTCTTACTTTGCTTTTTATTTGTTTTCCATAACTATGAAATATACTTAATTTATAATTACACAGCAAATTAACTTAATAGCCAAAATATCCGCTATTCTATTACTAATAATACGTATATTTTTTCCAGCGTGGTTTAGGCTTCATGCCCAAGCGTGGTGTGAATACTTCTATCTGTGAGGTGTTCCGTTTCTACAAGCTACACACATCTCGTGGTCTGTGTGAACCTATATCTATGATTGTACCGCGCAAGTCTGACTGCTTCCAGGTATGATAACAAAAATATATGTATTAAATAACAATTGATTAAAATACTATAAATAATTTCCATATAAACAGGATTAAGTAAATTTCGTAACATTTTTTACTGATAATTGTTTTCCACAACATTTAATTGTTATAGTGTTTAGCTTCTGCATTTAAAAAATTGTTTAATTATTGCTTCTTAAAATTATTCGATAATTATTTATATTTAAAGTCAGTATTTTACTATTTGGTTTACATATCGGAATACAAACTATATCCTATTCTAATAATGTAATGTGAGTATGTACAGATTGTAACCTCTTCACGTAAAAACTAAAGTATTTTTTTTTTTTATGTCAAAGGTGGCAAACGAGCAGACGGCCTACTTGGTGTAAGGTAGTGCCGTCGCCCATAGACATCTGCAACACAAGGGGTGTTGTTGATGCGTTGCCGGCCTTGTTTTTTTAGGATTAGGGAGGGGTGGGAATAAGGAAATGGTAGGAAAGGGTGGGAAATAGGAAAAGGCCAACCGGCTCTCTCACTCATCGGACGAAACGCAGCAACTAAAGGCTACTTCACGCCGATCTTCTGTGAGAGGGTGGTACTTCCCCGGTCGAGCCAGCCCATGTTCGAGCTGTAGTAACTTACCACAGCTAGGCTCTACCACCTAAAAAAAGTAAAAGTATTAAGTAAAAAAAGTCATTAAACTTATATCTCGTATCAAGTCTTGTATCATTGACAATAGATGGCACTGACCATTGGTTATAATATCTACTCTATAACGAAATCCAAGTAAACCCGCGTGTACAAACTTGTTATTAATGTTTCAGGAGGATTTATACCCTGACACGGCAGCGCCGCAACCCGCGCTCTCCGCACGTGACTGGCTGAGTGGAGTGAACGCACCGCCGCTACTCATTAGTATGAAAACAGGTACGACTAGATAATCTAATTATATAGGGTGGCAACCGGAGGTTCCAGGAAAACTACGAAACATACTTATATGTATATTAAAATAAGAGTTACATGTTAAAACTTGTAACCTATACCTAAGACTACATGATTGACCCGATGTTAGGATAGCAATACCATTCCATAGTTTGTGTGGTATCAGGAATCTTCTGGTTCACACGGCTTGGTGTTCCTTCCGCGGAGTCAGCAGCGTCACTCGTTATACGATATTTTACCGATACAAAGATGTCGCCCCGGCGATGTTCATTTTTTTCTTTATATGTTACGCGTACGTAACAGTCTTAATAACAATAAAAAAATGGTAAATATTTTAGATATCATATCTATTATGTAAATGTAATTGTAGATATAATAGATATGTATTTTCTTATAACAGTTATCTGCCGCATAAATGTCACTTATCGTGTTAGTACATCACTACATGTCATTTTCAATTTAAACTACACAATTAACAAGAAAAAGCTTGTTAATTCAATAACTTAGCTACTAATAAGTTGACTTATAAAAATCTGTTCATAAATATTTTTGTTTCTCCGAATTTAATACTTTTTTCTATACAGGTGTAACAATATCTACCCACAAGCCTCGTAATAACAAGGACGCGCCCGCGCTCCAGCCTCAAGACGCGAATAACAGAAAAAAGTTCGCCTTCCTCTCACGAGAGACGACTCCCGACTACCGCCCTCTGGCGACGTGGCAGGGAAACCAAGACGATACACAGGTTGAAAATTATATTTAATATCAAATAAATACAGTCGATTTCAGCCTGTGATGGCCTAGTTATTAACAGTCCCGCCTCTCATGCACGAGGGCGCGGGTTCGATCCTGGCAAGTACCAATATGATTTTTCCAAGTCATATGTATTATGTACTTTCTAAGAGTATTTAGACATCACTGATTAATGCATTCCCAAAAGAGGGTTGATGTCAGGCAGGCGGCCGGTCGTAAAACAATTAGCCAAAATTATTATATGTAAGGCAGACCCTGGTTAAAGCTGGGAAATTGCTAGGTAGAAGAAGAATGTAGTTTAATGATTATTTTTGTTAAAATATGTTTTAAATGTTATCATGTTATTCAGTATTCTTAACCATATTTTTAATTATCACTCTACATACAGTTTAATAATATTTTTTAATTAATAAATCTTTACGGATAAAAAGTATTTGAACCTGCAACAGGAATATAGATTTATGTCAACCTCTCCCAAAGATTTATAATTTAGTTTAACTGGTATAGGTTATACTGGTTTTTCTGTAGGTGGAAAATATTTTTTTCTCAAAACAAAATAAGTTTGGGAACCACTGACTTATAATTTTCTTTATCAGCAGGTTCAAGTGACTGAGAAGTGTCAGAAACAGAACTCGAATCAGAACACAAAGTTCCATCAGCTACAGAAGATGTTCGGCAAACAGGCGGGCGACGTTGAAGTGGTGCCACTATACAAACAGATCAATCAGGGAGACGTGTTTAATACTGAACATGAGGTAGGATAGAGAATATATATATATATATACCAAAGTAACCGATTAACATTCTAGATCTATAGTCATAATACTGAACTTTACGTATGGAAAAAAGTTGTGGTAAATCCTGAAAGCAAATATAACTATCTCAGGCTTATGTTCTATTAGCTTTCCGCCCGCAGGTTAACCCGCGTGGAGTCCGGTTATATGGCGTTTCCAAGAGAACCTTTTAAAAGTCTAGGATAAAAACTTCAAGTTCTTTCTCAAGGTCAACTCTGTTTGTACCAAATTTCATTAAAATCAGTTCAGTGGTTTAAACGTGAAAGCGTAACAGACAGACAGAGTTGTTTTCGCATTTATAATATTAGTAGGATATATATATGACGCAGTTATGTCTTGTGGTAAAACGTGGTCTTTAAACAGTGACGTCAGCATAACTGACATCACTTATGCTTTTCTTCTGAACTCGTCAGGCGATCGAAGTAAAAAATCCGAATAGTAATCCGAAAAATATTAGTTTCATTACAATAAAATTTTACTACTAAATCCTAAGTATAATTAATTTATCTGAAACACAACTTTATGTAACATTACTTCTACTCGTTTCCTAAATGAATTTGTTATTATTCACTGAGAAGGTTCCATCATATTATTATTTACATTAAATTTTCACCTCTTAAACCTTAGTATACTTATTTTTCTAAAACAACTACTTCATTTATATAAAATAACTTCAAACCGTTTTATAACCAATAATTACACATTTTCTTCCTTATATAATATGTATATCATGAATATTAATAATAAAATCTGTTCATAGTTGCGTTTGGCGTTCAATCGTCAGGGAGAAGAACTGAGAATAGTTAAACGTCAGCTACAGAACAGTCAACAGAGAGTGAGGGAGCTTGAACAACACGTCGCTTCACTACAATCACGACTCAACACGACATAATAATTCACACTGATATGTACTGTTGTGTTATCTCGACATATACAACAACAACTTTAATAATATTGACAATCTTTTGACTATAATATACTTCAAGTATATGTATAACTTGATATTTGGAAAAATGTTATATATTTAAAAATATTCCCAATTATCTATCTAAAAGCGGGAATAGATTACATAGTGTTGTATTGAGAAGAAAATTTGGATAAATATACATTTTGTGTATTTAAATCAACCTTAATTGGCTAACAACGTCGCGACATAACACAACAGTGTATTTCGGCTTTAGATTTCATTCAATGCAATACACGCTAATCGATGGTTAAATATGTACGCTCTCTATATGATTGAGGCTAAAAAAACAGTTGATAAAAAAGCGCTCTCTTGTATCTTGAATATTAATTGACATGTTTTTTCAAAGAATATTTTAGAAGTTGCAAAGTATTGGCTGCCTAATTGGCCTTTGTCTCAAAGAGGTTTTTAAAATATCTTAAAGCTTAATAATAAGCTTTCGCCTTAATTCTAGAATAGACACTCACATTATCACTACCAAAGACATGAATGCAGATATCTAATAACAAAATAATGACTTACACGGAAGTGTATTTTTTTATAATTAATTGGATATTTTACTAAAATAATTATGATTTATGTACTTTGATAATGAAATTATGCTCCACTTTATTTTATAATTATTTTATGTTGTAATTTAAACTGAGAATGTGTATGCTTTGTGTCTGTGATAGCTCGGTAACAGCTTGAGCATTTAACGCGGTTGTCATTTCTATGTCAATATATGTTTACATCATAATATATAATGGAATATATTTTAAGACACGACATGCTAAATGTTACTAATATAAATGTTTCAAAAACAATATTATTGTAATCGTATGGGAACAATTTTATCATTCCAAATTGTATTATATTTCTTTTTATCTAGTTGTGTTACAGGCCTAATTTATGTGTTCTTTATGGCCTATAAATTAATGAGTTGATAATTTCATGTCCGATGTTGTGTAAGTAGCTTTATATCAATCAATGTGCAATCAAAGTTTGTATGAAACATGACAAATAGTATAAGCACTGATTTTAACAGCACTTCTTATAGTTTATTTCCCAGTTTGATGATTATTTTTTTGTATGATTGAGTAGTGTTACCTGTTAATTATAATTGTTTGTTCCTTGATTTTGTATGACAGATGTCTTATGTTAGTATTTGCCATTTTGAGCTCGTTTATCCCAATGTATGATTTTTAATTATTTAAGGAAATTTTTAAACACTGACGAATTTGACTCAAAATCATATTATTAATATTATGGTTTTTATTACCGGTTTTGTAGTTTTGTTTTTAATTATCATGACATTTATTGATTTGATTTTAATGACATTTGTTTTACTATCGATGAAAATGTACTGCCAATTTCATAAAAGAAAAATAATTGTACAAAAATAAATACCTGACATTTTTGTACATAAATTTAATTGAGGATTTCAATTTAGTTTTTTAAATGTATTAGATAGGTGCTAGATGAAATAAGCTTATGGCTTGAATATTTTGTAGCGGTTTCTTGAATTTCTGATTGTAATCAAATATGTAGTAAGCTAAGTTTAAGAATCTTCAATGCAAAGAAGCTTTTAGAATGTTAAGATTTTAAATTAAATACATGCTATTTTCATAAAAAAATTGTGATTTACCATCTGGAATGGTTTGGAAACTCGTTTGATAAATTTGTAATAGATTTTTTTTTGATTGTGATAAATTTGGAAAAAAAGCTGAAAATTATAACATTCCGTAATATGTAATATCCACTGTGTGGTTTTTTAGTATTGATGTTAATCGAAGGCATTCCACATTATATAATACATTAGTTAAGCGAAAATGGTTAAAAAAAAGTATTATTGCGTATAAGCTGAATTAGTATTTTAGTTTGTGGCTAAGTCGATGTTAATATTTATTGTGTATTTTTATATCATGCTTGTGTAGCACAAATTTTCAATAAATGTTTGAACATTCTATAAATTTTTCTTTTACAAACTTTATTTGAATAAAACACATAACTTCAAATCCGTAATTTTTCACTACTATTATGACAATAACAATTTAATTTTTTATCTGCAAAGTGTAAAAAAATTCTTAAACATAAAAGAATTTTAAATGATTAACTTTGAAAAACAACACCACAAAGAAAAATCCTCTTTCAATTACATACATATAACTTTTTGACGCGTAAAATATTGTTCACAATATGGCGATATTTATTTTGAGACGCACTTTATAATTCTCATTATAACCAAATAAATTATTACAATAGTTGAAAACGGTAAGGTAAGAATTGTGGGAGGACCTTAAACCTTGCTAGTGCACTAATGTTCGCAAATTATATTAATACAAATTATAGTAGCCGGCACATATTATGTAACATTGCAAGCGACGATAGATAAACAAAATACGATTTTTAGATGTCATAACTCATAACGGCGGCAAAATTCTGTTCTCGAATTTGGTATTTCTCTGCCGAGTACTTTAAAGCACTTAAATTGAATCCATTGTTTTAGTTAAGGCGGCCAACTTTCCGAAAACTGAATGCGGGACTTAACTTTTCGTGAATGGCGGGGGGGGGAGGTGTTAGGGATTGGGAATGTCATAAAAATCTTCGCAACTGCCCATATTAAATTTAAGTACTCTCTTAAGCGTCATGAGTTCAGAAGAAAGAAAGAAAACGAGATTATCGCGGGCGCGATACGCTTGTCCATATTATAGGTAATCTGTGTTCCTGCACTGTTGACCGTGGTATGGGTGTTGTGTAGAAGTGTGGTAGAAAAATAGGGATGCGGGACATGCGGGACGCATACAACGTTTTGCGGGACTATTTTACTAATAATTTCAAAGCGGGATTTCTTCTATAATTGCGGGACGGTCCCGCAGAATGCGGGACGATTGGCCGCCTTAGTTTTAGTTACTGTGAAGTTTTGCTATTTATAATAATTATTAACTGTCAAAAGTGACCACTTGTTGCACAGAATTAGTTACTAAGTTCATTTGAAAACTTATACTCACTACACCAAACTTACGTAATAGCAATGATACTATTGAATCCTGTCGTTCAGTACATAGTTTGTGATAAATTTACCATAAAAAAAGATATTGTTGCGTCTATAGGTAACTGGGTAGTGAGTGATGTCTCTTTGAAATGCTTAACATTTTAATATCACATTATAGCGAAATTGAATATCATTAACTAAATGATTTTGTTTTAATTAATTGATATATTAATTGTTTTAATAAACTACAGTTTTACCTCTTCTGTACAAACAATTGTTGAAAATTGAAACAATTGTCTGCTTTTCATTACTACAATTTAAATCGTAGCTTTAACAAAGCTTTATAATACCAAAAAATCACTTTCCAGTTTAAGTAAAATAATCAATTGACTGCAGTTTTCATTGTTATTTGTTTGTTTTTGGGTTGTATGTTAAAAATATTAAATAAAAATTTGAAATATTTTAAATGTCTATTATTTAAAACAAATACTTTTTTGATTATTCTTGAACACAGGAGGACACATGAAGATTTAGTAAATTTGAGCATTTGCATTGAGTATATTTTTAACATGGTTGTGTTACATATAATTGTTATTTAGGGTGACAAAGAAAACTATAAAATACAGGAATTATCTTTTAATCACTAACTCACAAACTTTGCAATGAGATTCTGAGGTTAAAGTGTTAAAATATATTATTTTACATAATATATTATAAAAGTTTATAACGCCTTTAAAATATTAAGTACGACTGATATTTTTATTAAGCATTACATCCATCAGAGCTACAAGTATAAATACAAGTCCTATATTCCAATTTGTCCCCTGGCTGTTGAACATAATTACAATAATTCCCTAAATCTAACGATGAACAATACCTCTTTGTGCCAATACCACCTGTAAAATATAAAAAAAATACTCAACATTATTATTAAAGTATATATTAAGAATGTAGCAAAAGGAATAAAGAGCAAACTTAATTAAAAAGCAATACATACTAATATAAAGTTATTAAGGAAGCAGAAAATTTTCATTCAATGTTATTAACAAATAGATAGATGAAATTAAATATTAATTTTACCATTATGATATAAGCGAGAATGATTCTTTTCATAACAGTACAGAATGTTTCAGTGTTGAAACTAGCCATGGCTAAATGATAGATTCCCATGGCTAAATGATGGTTTTTCATGAGCCTGCACTATGAGTTAGTTTAGAACATTTTAAATCTGTAAATTAAAGCATTATAATACCATAACCCTTCTAATATATGTACTTGTTAGACACTAGTAAATGAATAACTTTTATTTCTTTTCGTACCTTCGAATCTTCCAACATGTTTGATACAGTATTGGGCATTATGTATGCCTTCACAGTTTATTGGCTTCAACTGGCTGTTGCTGTCTAAAACTTCATTACATTCAAATGGATCGTCGGAGTCCGTGCCAGAACATTGATAGCAGTTTATACAGTACACTACGAAATGATATTGAGATAATAAATACAAGAAATAAATTTAAAATATTATAATTAAATGTATAAAATTGTTGTATTACCAGAATTAACAGCACAAATTGTTAATAACACTATAAATGTTTTAAACATTTTTAGATCTGAAATGAGTCTCAAACGCAGAAAAACCTTATATTGGTTCGAAATTCAAATGGTTAGTTTTCTAGTAATCTAGTATTCAATGTTTATCTGCATTCTGCCAGCACCAACGATTCAAATTCTAATCTGGGCGTGTCATTTGTTGCCATGACTATTAATTATTTTAAAATAATATTAATCATTCATAATTCTTTGTTACACTTTTTATATTATATTAATTAAAAAGTACAAAGGACATATATCTTAATCACTATTTTAAATAAAAATATATTTTATTCCACTTTGAAATCGAGAGTGAGGATTTTTAAAGAACTTCGTCAGACAGAAATCAAGATTGCGCCAAAGATTTTTCTTAATAAATTAAAATTTGAATTTTTATTTATTTTAAAAGTTTTGATTATTTATTAATCATGCTTTTAAAATAAAAAAGGGATAATTTTAAAATAAACAAGAAACACCCATGAAGATTGAAATAAAAGTGTTGAAATAGAAATACGAGTCATTAGTGTACCCAAACACTTTCTTGTGGTATAAGGAAATTTCAATAATTAAGAGATACTTTAAAGAAATATTTGTCATATTTGTTAATTTTGCTACTGTATTCATTTTCAAAGGCGAAGTTACTAGAAGCAGGCATTTCTGCAAGTATTTTGTACATACAAAACTTCCCGCCATTTTTAAGAAATAAAACTTAAAACTGCGTTTCAATATATAAAACTTTACTCTATTTTTTGAAGTTTAATTTCATTTAGTTCTCTTGGTTTCTAAGGTTTAATATTTTGAAAGTTCACTAGTCATCTGTAAAACATTAAACATGAATTCACGTTGCTAGTAAGTAGTATCCTATGAAATCAAAACAATATGTGCCTTGTAGAACTAACGAGACATAGGAACTATTGACTTATAATATAGTGTGAAGTGCCCAGTAAAAGGATTATTTCTGTTCATAATAAAAAATCTTTATTGTATCAAATAATGTGTTGTATAAAAAATGTAAATGCTTCAGTAAATAATATAAAACTTAAATATACACAGAGATAAAGGTAAAATAACAATAAAATGTGACAATTTAATAGCACTTGTTTGATTGCAACCATCTGTATTGCATGTGTAAATACAAGTTCTGTATTCCATTTTGTCCCCTGGTTGCTTAACATAATTGCAATAATTGCCCAAATCTAATGACGAACAATATCTTTTCGTTATAATACCACCTGCAATATAAATTACATGTTAGAATAAATTTTAATATTTAAAGGAACTGACTTCATGAGAACTCACAATTAAATTCAACACTCATTAGCTTGCATGTGCTGGAACCTAAAATACTAGTGCAATATATAAATTATGTACATTTCAATCTTGCTCTGATAAATCTTAACATTGTGTTCTAAACTTGATTTAAATTAAAAAAATAGGTGATTCTTGAGTAGCTTTGTGCATAATTTTAAGCCAAAATATTCAATAGGATCACATCTCAACCTGTTTGTTTTATACAATACTTTGCATCGTAAACATGTTCACAAGAACTAGACTCCAATACTCCTCCATCGAGATTCATAAGTGTGTCGCCACATTCCATAGTCAGGGATGAATTACATTGAAAACAATCAATTGCATTCCCTAAATAATATAAAAAATATATGTTATTTCAAAATAATTAAAAATCATATCATAGAATGATACTCCCCAAAAATAACAAAATGTTTAGATTATAAAACAAAAAAACATTTTCACTGGTATTTCATTTACATATAAATTATAGAAAAATTTACTAAGATATTGATATTTCATTTATTAATATTATCATAAAAGGTGTGAACAAAAAATATATATAACTGAATAAAAAATAATTTAAAAAATATAAAACTTTATTAACTATAATATTTTATTACTGCTCCTGCCTTTAACATCACAAGTATTGTGATGTAGGCGTTATTTTTGTGCGTATGATGCCACTGAAAAATCAATAAAATGAAAGCTTACCACTTTGCAGAATGATGCTAACAGTTTATAATTTTACTACAAAAACAAAAAGGAAACAATAAAACAAAATTAAATAAAAGTGTAAATTAAATAAATTATAATAAGAATATTTACATATAGGATATGTAATAGTTAACTACCTGTATTTACAGCAATTATAGTTAAAAGTAATACAAAAGACAGGTACATATTTAGAAATGCTATTTTCAATAAGTTTAAATTATGTGGAACGTGACACTTGTTAGTACTAGCGGCGTCTAAAGACTAAACCTGAAATGGTCTTCTTCAGTAAAAAGAACCCTTTAAGATTTAAGTGATCACCAAAATAAAAAGCTAATAAGTAACAAATAACATTATTAAATCAATATTGTTGTTTGACTTTTAATATGTCACATGAATATTTAGACGGACCTATCTATACAGTAGTTACACCCTTAATAAATAATTGTGCTTATGACGCTTGCGATTGATCTCCGCTATTTATTGTTTTCTCAAAAAAAAGTTATTGCAGTTTTGCTATGAAAACTTATTGGAAAATATAAAGTCAAAAGATTTTTCAACGTTAATGATATTCAAATTATTTATTTTTAAAATTTCTAATCTTGGTAATTCTTAAACCATTACAACAGTTATCTTAGTCTTAAATTCTGTTTGTCAGGTTTTATAATAATCAGGTGTTAAATAATAATATTATTTATTTTCCATTTCCTTTTGAAAATTGTAAATATTTTCATGCTTTTAAAGGCTAGGGTTCCTTGAGCTAGCAACACTTTGGCTCTCAATGTAACGAAGTTTCTTAGCGCGTGCGAGATGACGCGCCGGTCAATTTTTGTATTTTAGAAATTGACGTAATTTTTGTGTGCACGTTTCATAAATAAGGTGAAATGAGATGATATTAGTCAGCCTTTGTGGAATTTTGATGTGTGGAGTGTAACAGTGTTATTGAAAAGTTTTATTTATTTGCAGATTTCATAATGGCCGATCAAGTAGATACCATGTCAGACGCGGAGCTCCGCACAAAACTAGCCGAGCATGGGTTCCCAATTATGCCTATAACAGCTTCTACCAGAAAATTGTTGGTAAAAAAGCTCAAAATGGTATTAGACAACAAAACCAAACCTCGCAATAGCGTAGACAAAGTAGAGAGTCGACGGTCCCTTGCGCGGTATTCAAGCGGCGAAGAATCTGATCTGGATTCTTCAAACATATCGAAAGAAAAACGTAGCCGTCGTGCAACTACTGGAGGTGCTATGTTGCCGCCAGTGACAAACAAGTCCAGACGAATTCCATTAAAGAAGGATTCACCGATAAAACGCGACATTGATAAAGGATCTGAATCTGAGGATGAAAAGTCACCTGTAAGAACACATGAGGAGGTGGAAACCGTAACAACACGTCGTGTTACTCGTACATACGCAGCTAATGACCAAGACGACTATGAAACAGGTTCTGATAGTGATGTTGATGCTGAAAAGAAGCCTTCGAGTCCATTAAGAAGTAGCTCACGGTCAAGTGACTATATTTCCAGTACTTTACCCAGTAATGACCCATCCCCGAGCCCTCCAAGGTCATCTTTATTCTCTCGTCCAACATTATCTAATACTAACTTCTCATCTTCACTGTCATCTTCTGATCATCTTAATTCTATAAGATCTCGACTCGGGCTGACATCATCCTTAGCAGACCGCCCTTCAGGCAGTTCTTTCACATCTAATTACACAAGCAGTGCTTTTCAACCTTCAACGTCTACTATAGATGAAGTAGAATCTCCTTATTTAAGTAATTTCACACGACGTCTATCTTCTCTCAAAGCTGAGCCTCCGAAACCAACCACATTTCTGGACAGAGACACTACTAATGGTAGTCCGCTGATTCCTCGTAGATCGTTCATATCCGGTGTGCCTAGATCTGAAATTATAGACTATAAAGCCTCCAATGATAAAAAGTTTTTGAAAAACAACTTAGTTTCACTCGCCCTTGTAGCTCTTGTCGCACTTTTTTTTTTTTGTCTAGTTTTCATGTACATAGTAAAAAAGAATGACATCACCTCAGTAGTAGATGACCAGAACAGTGTTATACCTATTTGTCAATTTAATCTTCCCGGACACAGACCGGGCTTTAATTGTGTGCCTCAAGAACAAGTGATTCATGCCAAGAATCTGTTAAAAGTTATCCATCCGAAATTAACGGAATGCGCTGCCGAATACAAATGTGGTAAGCCTGGGGCCTTGCCGTATGTAACTGAAAGAGAAATTATAGACTTGGCCAGTGCTCGAGTAGATGTTAACCAGTGTCGCAAAGATCTTAACAATCTACAGGTTTTACTTGTAAACAATCCTAGATGGGGTATTAATGTTGTGCAAACTGAAAATTTATATTCTCCAGATGTTAAATACATACCAATCACAAGTGTTGATATGGTTGTGCAACAGAGGAATAAAGGCAGTGTAGCTTTAGCCCTATCTGATCCATCGACCCCTATCTCATGTCTCTTTGTCAACACCCTTTACTCTGCCGGAACAACCATTGCCGTTATCGGAATATTGTCTGTATTGTTGTTAGGTTTACAAAGATTTTACAAATATTATATACATTGTCAGAAGAAAAAGAGTGAAGAAATTTATTCTATGGTTGAACAGATTATAGATGTGATCTCTCAAGAGACTGAAGACAGCGGGGAACCATACATATCCGTCGATCATGTCAGAGATACTCTTATATCACCTCAGAATAGAGAGAAAATGTCTTCGGTTTGGGATGCCGCTGTTAAGTTTATACAGAAAAATGAGAGTCGAGTCAGAATGGAGGTTCAGTCTGTGGATGGAGAGGATTGTAGGGTATGGAGATGGATTGCTTCCCACAACAGTCCGAAACGCAGTACTTCGTGGCAAGGACAGGCATTTGTTACTCAAGAAGGCTCCGTTAACAATCTCACTGTATCTCCAACGCCATGTCTCAAAATCCGCAACATGTTTGACAAAAATGACACAAACCCAAATCTAAGGACCGTTATTCAGGATGTTATACTAGAGAAATGTGAACGGAGCAATATTTTGCATATTGATATCGAGAGTGCTTCCTGTTGCGTGTATGTGAAATGCGCCACCCCAGCGGACGCGGGCATAGTGTACAAGAACTTGCATGGTTGGTGGTATGAAGGAAGACTTATTACTGTTAAATATCTACGCTTGGAACGTTATATGCAGAGGTTTCCGGGTTCCCCATCATCGGGATTCTATTTAAAACCATCTCGTCTTCGAAGAACCTGGGATGAATGAGTCTATGCTGGTTCATAGCATCAAGAATAAGGAATTTATTTCAGGATATCAATTGAACTTTGAAGCAACTTGTTACATACAAAGTTTAGGCCTATCTCAATAAGTTATTTGTTTGTGTTCATGTTGTTAGAAAGGATTTAGCGCATTACAATTTTATTATATCTTAATGTTACAATTTTGTCGATGCTCAGTTATGGTATGTTGTTATAACTGGAAGGTTTAGGACATATGATTCACACATAATATAATATATTGTTTGCATAATACGTTGCATTAAATTGACGAAAGTTGTTTAAATGAAAACATTTTGTTGTAACTACTTATATTGCTTATAATTACAATAGGATTTTGAATATAATAGAATTGACCACAATCGGATAATGTAAATAAATGACATCACAAAATTAAATAGGAATGTATTTTAATATTAATAGTTAAGCAACTGTCCGTAATGGTTTGCATTTGTTAATGAATTTACTGTTTTGGAACAAATTGTTTAAAAACGTAGCTCTAAGTAGGTTAAGTTTGAAGGACTTAAAAGTTTTGCTCTTAACAATTTGTATACAGAAATGGCACAAAAAATACTTGTGTGTTTTCATTGACATTAATCTGATTTTAAGAACTTACTAACCTCTATGTTATCTTCTAGCATTATTTTTATTATTGATTTTCACTTTTAATAAATAATTTAGGAAATTTGTTTCTTTTCATTTACAACTTATTAAGCATAAAGAATAAACCTATTATGTATGTATACTAGCAACCTTCTTGTGACTTCTTTAGATAGCATCCTTCTTATATTACAAAGAAAGAAAAAAAATACTTATTAAATTTAATATACACCATATATATATTAAATATACACCATAAAATAGATATTTCAGATTCAGAAAGTAGCATCACCGAAAAACAAAAAGAATTGCTTAAGTATTAAGAAAAACATTTTTATTACAAATAAAAGTGATAAAAAAACAACTTGAACAGTTAAATTGGTTCTATGCATATCATTTCTTAGTAACACTTGTTAAACAATGACAATTTATTTATAAAGCTATCAGCTAGTATTGCACCAAATTTTTGATGGCTTCTAGACAACGCCAACGGTCTGGTAAGTAGAATGGTTCGAATACATGAGGAAAGGGCGCATCCCAGCCTGTTACACGAGATATAGGCGCCTCTAGGTGAAGAAAACATTCCTCCTGAAAATATATTTGATTTGTACACTAAGAGATAACTAGAAAGAGGTTTTTGAAATTGGCATAACGACAATTATCTTATTGCTATTTGTAATTGATGTTCTGACGTTAATGTCATTTTATATACGACATACATTTTTAAATAAAGAGTAAAAATAATGTCATTTGGTTCCAAAATATATTCGTATTAAGAGTATCGTATAGTAATATTTCTACGAGATAAATACCTTTAACTGTTAGCATAATATAAATGAATCCGTTCTTAGTAATTATTTATTATTATAGTTTCGCAAAAAAATTTCAGACATTTCCTTAGTATTAGCAATCCGACCAGACTAATCTATTGTATAGAAAGAGTAATGTTTATGCAATACATAAAGAAGAACTTTACATTACATATCAAAACTACAATCGGAAGTATATATTTCTAACCTAACCCATATGGGTTAGAATAAAATTGTGGTCGAATTTTAAAGACTTAAATTTGGTTCATTATCTTTCAGAACATAACAAAATATATCTTTTACAAATATCTAGATTCTAGAATAATTCCAAACCAAGATAAAAAGAGTAAAACTAAAATAAATAAGAGAGATCATGAAAAAATAGAATAATTTTACTCTAACTTTCTTTATATTACCTGAATAGTAGCTGCCAATTCCGCGCCAAAACCGCAAGTGAGTGGAGCTTCATGCGCTATTAGACATCTACCGGTCTTTTTCACTGACTGTAAATAAAAAATATTATAATAAAATAACTGAGTAATATATTATCCCTACTAAAATTATAAATGCGAAAGTAACTGTCTGTTTGTTACGCTTTCACTCCTAAATCACTGAACTGATTTTAATGAAATTTGGTACAGACATAGAGTTGACCTTGAGAAAGAACATAGGATAGTTTTTATCCCAGACATTTGAAAGGTTCTCTTGGAAACGCGATATAACCGAATTCCACGCGGCCGAAGCTGCGGGCGGAAAGCTAGTGCAATATAAATCATTTAACTCACATTACAAACAGTCTCTTCGTCCCACGGTTGTATTGACATAAGATCTATAACCTCACAGCTAACGCCAAACTGATCTTTCGCTATTTGAGCAACTTCAAGTAAAACGTGTACTTGTGTGCCCCACGCTATTAGAGTTACTTGATTACCTGAATATTAATTATAATAAATTTAATTATTTACGTTTTTTTCTCATAAGAATAATCCCTACTAATATTATAAATGTGAAAGTAAGTCTGTCTGTTACCCTTTGACGGCTAAACCATTGAACTGATTTTAATGAAATTTGGTACAGACATAGAGTTAACCTTGAGAAAGAACATAGGATAGTTTTTATCCTCGACTTTTGAAAGGTTCTCTTGCAACCGCGATATAACCGAACTGCACGCGGGCGAAGCTGCGGGCGGAAAGCTAGTGTGATATAATGGTCGTAAACTACAATAGTTCTAGATATTTATAACACTTATAAAAAATACTAATGTCGTTGGTTTAACTTCCAATAATTTAGATGATATTTAACACATATTGGAGAATTATAGTAGTTAAAATGTCTAAAAAACTTTTTATATTTGTTGTTCGAACACAGCTATTAATAGCAACACCAAAGAAATATTTATACCTTCTCTTAAAACCTGAGCCTTTCCGATCGGTAAAGTATAACTATCAATAGGGACTTCTTCATTGGCAGATCTGTATAAAATCTTTGGCTCCAAGAAAATACAGGGATCCCTTTCTTGGATGCACGATAATAAAAGACCTTTCGCTGTAATTGGACCTCTTGGTACTATCACCTGAAATATTAAAGTTCATTTTAACATTAAAAAATTGTTTAAATAGTTCAGTCTGTGCTATTTCCATATTCAAAAGATGTTACATTCCTCATTGCATAGATATTACTTAATAGTTATCGAAATAGAAGGACCAAAATCCAAAAAAATGTTCAAAACATTCTGGAATTAAATTTTTAATTACTAGCTGCGCCCCGCGGTGTTACCCGCGGATTTCCGGGGTGTAAAGTAGTCTATGTGTTATTCCTGGACGTCAGGTTCCTGTATGCAAAATTTTATCAAAATCGGTTCAGCCGTTTAAGCGTGAAGAAGTAACAAACACACACACACACATACTCACAAACTTTCTCAATTATAATATTAGTAGGATTAAGTGGTTTTTTTAATGGCTTAGATTTCTGTAAGGCCAGTATCAAACTTGAGATCATCATAATCATCTATATACCTTCAGCCCTGCCGCATGAGCGAAGAATGCCTCAGGGCTCTGTGAGTGATATAACCCTCCGTGACCCACTGCTCCACAAGGGGCGCGAACCGTCAACGCTCCACAGTCAAACTGACCGCCCGATCTGTATCGAGCCTTAGCTGCTTCATTTACTAACTGGAAATATTGATAATAACATATTAATTTTAATAACATATTGCTTTTTGAAGGCAAATGTACTGTTAGTGTTTTTTTATATTCAATACTGTATTTATTAACATATATATAGTAGATCTAAAATATGATTTACAGTAGGGGATATGTTGTAGAGTGTAGATTTAGTTTTATAATGTTTAAATAATAAGTATCTCTATCCTACTTATTCACTACAGATTTTTTACTGGATTAGACCAAATAGGAGAGTTTTTCAAAAGCTAAAAAGAAATTATTTATCATAAAATTAATTGTAATTTGTATCTAATATTTAAGGTTTTGTTTCTCTAAGTATTTTAAAATTATCATGATTCACTGAACAATTATTTATATAATACCTGATCAAAGGCTGGGAATATATAATCTGCAAACTGTATTTCAGCTATGGCAGTTGCACCGGCGGTTGCTAATCCAATACCGAACCCTGCAATACCCTGCTCACATAGTGGTGTGTTAAATACTCTGTCTTTGCCATACTTTTCCTGAAAAAAAGAAGGAAAAGAATTAAAAACTTTTTGGTTTAGTACTTATCTAATAAAATATCCAAAGTTATAGTGAAAGGGTAAGTTACATGAGTTATTTGTCTTTATTTGGACTCCTTCCTCATTTGTGAGATTCTGTGTAAATATGAAAATTTCCTCTTAATAGCAATAAAATAATACAAGTCTGTCTAAAAATGAAACTATTTAAATTTAAAGAAGCAACTTTTTTTATGTGTATAACTTAAGTCCTTAAAAGTGGAAACAAGATTTTCAATTATGACTTCCAGAGAAATTGACACGGGACCACAATTATTTGAAATTATGTAGTTAATGACAGTCTTTCCTTATCATTATTTATTAAAACCACTGGAAAATCTATTCAGATATTGAAGCAGAGACAGACAGTAATGTTATATTTGCCCCTTGAAATAACTTTTTGAATTAATTTTTAAACATTAAATAAATCAAAGTTTTCCAAAACATTGACAGAGCAAACAAATAGCAAAGATAATGTTAAACTTCAAATCAGTGATTTACAGATAACAGAAAAATTCTGAAAATATGTTCATATATTAAAAATATAATAAAATATTTTAATATAAAGTTGCATAAGATTGTAGAAAAACATGCAACGCTGTTCCAGATACTTTGCTGATAAATGAATAATAAAGAATATTTTTGTGGTTTTTGGCATCATAACATTCAAAATGTAATATTTAATTAGGCTTATTTTCTATTATATCATTAAACAAATATATATATTATATACCTGTAATCCCAAGGCACATCTAAAAACACCTCCGAAGCCGACATCTTCACCAAATAAGACGGCTGTGGGATCATTTTTGAGTGTGATGTCCATTGCATCGTTTATAGCTTGCATCATATTCATCTTTTTCGTTTCTCCTGTTTTAAAAAATATCCATACTTTCATATATTGTGTAATTTCATACAAATACTTCAATACCTCTTAAAAATATTATAGAGAACATGCAATAAGTATTTATTTAAAGTATAACCTATGAAAATTTATCAACTGAATAATGTTATGTTTAATGTTTACCTTCAATTGGCTTTTCATTGTCTGGATGAAATATGAAATGAGAAGAAAGTCTAATAGAATTTTTGTTTACATTTTTAATAGCACCTCCAAAACTAAAAAGTTTTTTAGCTAACAAACTCATAGCTAAACCGACGTTACGTTATGTCCACCGGAAAGTTGTGTAAAGAATAATTTGAATAATACATCTTATCTGCAATTGTAATTAGTGAACTTGATAAACACCGATAACTCATGACGAAAGATTTTGTTTTGAATTAAAGTAAATAGGAGGTATTTTTTAAATGCGTTATGAAATTGTTTTATAATTTTCTTCATTAATATTGGACTTTTTATTTAAATCAAAAATGTAGTATTAACATTTTTTCATATAAAACAAAATAGATATTTATTAAAAATAGTGAAAGACGCAACAATATCGTCATTCATATCGTGACATTTGTTTTGTCAGTCAGTTCTCAGTGGAAACCTTGACGTTGACGTTAAAACTAAGATTGTTTTGGGTTCCGAATAATTTGTGAATAACAGTTTATTGGTATAAATTATATTATATAATTATTCGTAACTATTAAATTGAAACTGTAGGCATATCCCGCATTAAACTGTAGTGGACCAGCCGGCGCAAGGCTGTGGCTACATGTGAAAATTTTCTTATGTATATTATTACTCTCATTATTAGCTATTATTGCAAAATAAACAAATGCTAAAACACGTATTAAACAACAAACTAATTGTTTATTTTTCCAAGTCTTTTAGTGCTTAGTCCCCTATTTGTGCTAATAAATTAAATATTATAAATTATAATATATTTCACCATTTATACGTTGACACTATTTTTATTATAATTTTATCCCAACATGGTAATATCAAAGCGCCCTATCACGTTTGGCTTCTGAAATACGTGATCCGAAAGTAGGTAGGTAGTGTAAGTGACAATTAGACTTGCGTATTATTATAATTGATGCTATATAAATCATTTTCAATGTTTAAAATAGCCTATCATAGAATTTTTATTGTCTCCCTTAAAACATTTAACTTATTTATTTCTAATTTCTTATTTTTATTCATTTTGGTGAATTCTTAACATATTATAATTAGTAGACAATTATTTAAATTTTAATATATTTTTTTAAATGAAAATCAGGTGTAAATTAGGAATAAAATGTTAAATACAATTTCCAATTAATACAATAAAAGTGCCTTCACTGGCAATGTAATATCTAAAAATTTTCATAATAGTAATATGTTTAAATATAGATAAGTTTCAATCTATTTAGTTATCAGATATGTATAATCCTGTTTACATATAAGTATCAAAATTTACAACAATTTGTACAAAAAATATATAATTAAATCGATTAAAATAGTTATGCACTACAAAATTCTAACTATACCGAATAGTTGCGAGTAACCTCGCAAAAAGTCATCGGCCGTTCGCGTCGTGACTGAAAGTAAAAGTCGGCCTCACCGACAAACAAACATGCATAACATTACATATACACGAAACACGCACTACAAGCAGGTCGTCTACTGGCTGTACGGTTTGGATCCATGCCTTATTATATCAGATGATTGTACAAAATAATTAATAGAACACAATGTAATTTAAATGAAACTAATATTTTTCGGATATACTACGCGGTTTATTTTGGCTACTTTTCAGCGACCGTGGTCACGGACAAATGAGATTAAGTAATTTTTTGTTTCCTTCAAAGATTTTGCTCAAAAATGTTTTTTAATTTAATTGTTTTTAATTTAAGAATCGTGATAATTTTCATTGATATATATTTTTTACAATGTATAAGGTGTATTTGTTTATTAAAAAATATATTTTTGAAGAATATTTTCATTTTTATTATTTTATACAATTGAAATAGTATTCAAAATTTATATATATGTAAATTTTTAGTGTTATTTTTCTTAAAAAAAATTTTCTTAAAAAAAAAAAGTATTTATATTTTCTAGCTGAATCTATTACAGAATCGTGGCCGCATTCGACATTATTACATACCCTAATAAATATACGGGCATAAAAAAAACATAGCAACGATTTAAACAGTTAAATTACAGAGTAGGAACATTCTATAAATCGTTATCAGAGCTTGTTAAACGCGGGTTGGATTATTAATGAACTTGTTGAATCGTGATATTAAATTGTCTAATTTTGACTCTATGTTCATTAGAGTTCAACGGGCACAGACTATGCGCATATTTATATTAAAATATTGTTTCTTATTTTTTTGTCTATGGCTTAATTTTTTTTATTGTTTGAATTTTTTTATTTAAATGTTTATACAAAATGAATTAAAATCCGAATTAGTGTCTCGTTTCATTAGAATAATAAGGATATTAAAAAGTGTTTCGAACCAGTAATTGTTACAAAAAATAAATTTGTGAATGAATTTGAAATATTTTTTATGGAGATTACTTAGTTTTATCATAGAATATTTTCTAGTAAATGAAAGAATCCCATTATAACAATAAATTTCTGATGGTTGAAGAATAATAACTTTTTCCATTGCTTTAATTTTATCACATTTATTTTTTAATTAAAAACCATCACGATGTTTTTAAAAAGTATATATAGGCCATTTTTTGAGTGTTATATTGTCATTATAAGTACAAAAACCTTTAATAATAATTAGAACAGTAATACGAGATGACATTTTCAGTGGGGCCCCCATTATTATATTCATGGCAACAGACACCATACAATTAGAGGCGTCGTTGTGGCGTGTTATTGTAAAAGCATGTCTTTGGAGTTACACGATAAGCCAATATGTAAATAACCGCCTGTGGCGACTTCAAAAAATACTTTTACTCAATAGAACCTTTTTATTCACACATATACGTATTTATTAATCATATGTTTTGTTTCGAGGGATATATTGACCGATCAATAAGTATTATATTACATTTCCTAATCAGCTGTTTGTCTCATATAGATAAAAAAAAATATATATTTCAAGTATTAGTCAAAAAAAGTAATTCAGTCTAGTTTATATTTTTAGGAAATTTACATATATCTATATGAAATTTGATTATAATAAAACAACAGCTGTTTTTCTAAAAGAAATTTAATTATAATTATATTAACTGTTTATTTCATACGAACATGTCATTTAATAATTAAACGTCCTTATATTGAAAAATACTTAGATTTATATTGATCGTATCATAATTGGTCATTAATTACTGTCATATGCTTTTAGGTATTTATTAATTCTGATTTAATTGTATGACATACTTGCAGACGGAAAATCTAAGACTATTTAATTTATGCTATTTAAAATTAATATTACTGAAAAACATAACTGGTTTCGAGCTGGCAACTTTATTGACTTACATTTTTGTCAAAGACGACTTCCATCAATAAATAGTTTTTATATTTGTTATTTCAGGCTGTCTCATAAATTATAATTTGTTTTTATTTGGATGGTACTTTCTAATAAAAAATTTAGAATATACGCGAATTTGTTTCGCCTAAATTATAGGAACAAAAAAAACCGAAAAGATTCAGTAAAATTAAGATTTTATTTGAATATTGACAGTACATACCTTTTATATTACAATATTATTTTTTAAATCGTTTATTAAAACAATGTATTCATGTATGTACTTCAATGTTTAAAAAATGTAATCAAACTATTCTACTTCGCAATGACACACGATTGACGTCAAATATGATTTTCAAGATGGAAACTGACAAAAACAATTTAAAAATAAACACTGCAAAATGGTGATATTCTGGTAATATATTAAGTTGTTTAAATTGTTTGTTAAGATGTTCACTTATGTTAGTTTTATTAGCTCTTCTATAATTTATCACTCTTAGCATTTGTCCAAATATTTGCATTGATTGTTATTCTCGTTTACTCCGAGGAATTTGACGCCAATTATTTTAAACAGTGTCAGTAGTGTTAAGATAGTGACGAAATCTTGTTATAGTGCTGTTTAAAACAATGTTCTTTTTATATGATATTATTTTTCCCTGCAAGTTTGTTTGCGTTAATTTCAGAATAAGTAATAGGTAGGTAGCTAGGTATCTGCCCCAGCTTCGCAGGAGTACTTTGCAAAAAGAAAATAGCCTATGCTGCGTCGAGTACCTATTTGCTTTTTGAGTTAAATTAAGACTAACAAAAATTTCATCAACATTCTTCGTTAACATGCTTTAAGTTTGAACTAAGAAAAACGTGTTTTGAAAAAAGTGTTTTGAAAAAAAAAATAAAAGTGTTCATGTGAAAAAGTGAGCAATCGCGTGGATTTAATTTTGAGAATTATTAAACTTATGATAACTTTCAAATCGTACGTCCGAATTAAATAATTCGAAAAGTAATTTATAGATACTGATGCAAGCTTGAACACGAAGTAATGTATTTTGATGAGATTTAACACCTTCTTTATGTAAATAGCTTTGCAATGAACGCTTCATGAATGCCAATTTTTAAAAGTAGTAAAATGGATATAGTATGATATCCTTAAGAGATAGACATATGCCGTCGGGGACTTTTCTGTAGACCGATATAAAATAAATAATTCCACCATACATTGTTTTGTTATATCTCAAAGAGTTTTGGCAGCGTTTTAGTTCAAAGCTGATAGACGGCTCATTTTTCCCGACATCTTTAACAAATATCGTTAATGTTCACACAAATCAATACAAAATCTTAAGAAATTATATATTAAAACCTTCCTCGAGAATCACGCTATCGAGTGGTGAAAACCGCTTGATGATCGGAGCAAAAGTTTTTTTGTTTATTGCGAATAAACAGACAAACGCGGGGTGGACTTTATAATATTTTTTGATATTGATAGATGATCATATGTATAGCTGACCGGGAGAACTCAAGTATGCCCTAGAGGCCGTAAATAACCAGATATTGGAAGTTATTCAGATTTTTTTCGTTTTTCGATCAAACAGAAATAAATATCCTATGTCCATCTGCTGGTTCTAAGCTGCCTCCTCACCAATTTACAACCATATAGCTAAAGCCGTTCTTGAGTTATAAATAGTGTAACAACACGACTTTCTTTTGTACATAAAATATATAATTTATGTTTCACATTAAATTGAACTCAAAAAATGTTTTAAAATAAACTCTTGAAACCCTGCATTTGTTATCA